TAATAAAACTGTATATCATATTATACCATCAAATATATTATGTCATATTGATTAATAATATAGTGCATGTGTCCCTGCTCACTAGAATGTAAGATCCATGGAGACAGGCATGTTGCTCTGTTTTGTTCACTGCTCTATCCCCAGGGCAGTCCCTAGAACATGGTAGGTGCTCAATAAATATTGGCTTTGTAAATGAATTACTTATGGGGGGGAGGGAGATAGAGAATACACAGGTACATGATGAAATATATAACTATAAATATTATATTTATGATTATAAAGAAATATAATACATAATTAAATATATAATTCCAGGTGGAGATAAGTATATGGGGAGCAAATAAAGCAGGGGAAGGGATTTGAGGATATTTAGGGTAATGAAGGGTATGATTTTAGGAAAAGTCTCTCTTGGAGGGCAACACTGGAACAGAGACTCAAATAAATCAAATGAATGCATGAAACTAATGAATATAAGAGGAGAAACCAACTCTCAGGGATTGGAGAGTGATGAGTGCAAATTCTACTGTTAACCAGAAGGCTGGCAGTTCAAACCCACTAGCCACTCCCCGAAAGGAAGGCTGGGTAATCTACTTCCATAGTGATGCTGCCTCAGAAACCCAAGGAGGGGTCGCTATGAGTTGGATCCGACTCAATGGCAGTAAGTTTTTTACTCGCTGGCTATGGGACCCTAGGTTAGTAACTTAATTGTTTTGAATCTGAGCTTCCTCCCCTGTAAAACGGGGTAACAATGCCCATTTCACAAGATAAGAGCAGCACCTGGCAGCGTGGTTTCCTGATATACAGAAAGTGCTCAAATGAAAAGCATCTGCCATTAATAACAACCACAATGATGAAAGAATACTAATAAGAATGGTGCCCACTTTTATTACTGGTTCTGTTATAATACTATACTATAATGTGTTATTATCTAATATTTGTTAGTTTATGATCAAAAAGATGGGGCCTGAGATCCAAGTAGCTTTTTCAGTTGCTTGAATGAGACTCTTAATACTGAGGCTTCCATGCTGGGAAATGGACCTGTTGCAGGGCAGAGGGGCACTAACTGCCTTGCAGGCCCCTTCCAGATCAACCTGGCCTGGCACCTACCACCCAGGGCTTGCTGCAGAAGTTGTAGACAGAGTAAAGAGAATTGACAGCAGGCAGCCCTCCATATTGGAGGCCGATGACCAGGCTGCGGTAGTCTTCGGCTAGGGCCATGCTGTAGGCATGCTGGCGCACCAGGATAAAGTCCGGCTTGAAGGACCTGCAGAGAGAGGGGTGAACAGTAGTATTACTCAATACACAGATGCATGGATAAGCACTGGAACACCAGGCATGTTGCTGGGGATGGTGTGGTCACTGCCTACAGGGAGCTCTCTGTTCAAAATGGAGATAGGGTATAATGTGGATGAGGAGGGTCAGATGCAAATTCCACCTACTGTTGTCATTATTGGGAGCTCTGGTGGCATAGTGCCTAAGGCATTTGATGCTAACCGGAAGGCTAGTGGTTCAAACCCACCAGCAACTCCTCAGAAGGAAGACTGGGCAATCTACTTCTGTAGAGATACCATCTTGAAAACCCAAGGAGGGGTTGTTATGAGTCAGGTTCGACTTTTTGTTGTTACTATTACTGGGTGCTGGTGAGTGGATTTTAACTCACGGCGACCCCATGTGACAGAGTAGTATTGCCCCATCGGGTTTTCTTAGCTGTGATCTTCATGGCAGTGAATCACCAGGTCTTTTTCCTATGGTGCTTCTAGGTGGGTTCGAATTGCCAGCCCAACCTTTTGGTTAGCAGCCAGTCACTTAATCATTGCACCACCAACCAACTAACCAACTAGCATTGAGTTGATTCTGACTCATGGCAACCCTACAGAGCAGAGTAGAACTGCCACAGAAGGTTTCCAAGGCTGTAAATCTTTACAGAAAAAGTTTGCTTCATCTTTGACTTTTTGCTTAGTAGTTGAATGCTTTAACCACTACACTTCCAGAGCTCCTTTTTGCACCACCCGGGTTCTTTAAATTATACCTAAACCAAACCAAATGAAACTCACCACTGTCAAGTCAATCCTGGCTCATACCAACCCTATAGGACAGAGTAGAACTGTCCCATACAGTTTCTTTCCTAGGCTGAAATCTTTACAGGAGCAGATCACTCGGTCTTTCTCCTGCAGAACTACTGGGTGGTTCGAGCCACCAACCTTTCAGTTAGCAGGCAAGTGCTTACCCACTAGACCACCAGGGCACTCAAATCATAGCTAACCCAAAACCCAAACCAAACCCATAGCCATCGAGTTGATTCTGATTCATAGTGACCCTTTTTATGACACAGTAAAATTGCCTGTAAAACAGCTAAGGGAGACAAAGTTGTCTATCAGTTTGTCATCCTGTGAGGCTTGTATGTTGCT